TAGCCCAGGGCCGTCTTCCTCAGCAAAAAAAGAGGAGGATTGGCGGATGTTAGCACAGGGCTGACCTCCTCACAAAAAAAAAAAAAAAAAAAAAAGAATGAAGATGGACCCCTATCTTACACCATAGTCAAAAATTAATCCAAAGTGGAGATCTAAACATAGGACCTGAAACTATAAAACTCCTAGAAGAAAACATAGAGGGAAAAGCTTCATGACGTTGGGAAGGGCAATGATTTCTTGGATGTAACACCCAAGACAATGATTTCTGGGATATAACACCCAAAACAAAAGCAAAAATAGATAAACAGGACTATATCAAATTTAAAAACTTTTGTACAGCAAAGGAAACAACAGAGTGAAAAAGCAACCTAGGAACTGGGGGAAAATATTTGCAAACCATGTATCTGATAACGTGTTAATATCCAGAAAATACAAAGACTCTCTCAACTCAATAACAAAAAAACAAATAACCCAATTAAAAAATGGGCAAAGGGGCCGGCCGGGTGGCACAGCAGTTAAGTGCATGTGCTCCACTTCAGCGGCCCGGAGTTCGCAGGTTTGGATCCCGGGTGTGCACTGACACACCACCTGTCAAGCCATGCTGTGGTGGCGTCCCATACAAAGTAGAAGAAGATGGGCACGGATGTTAGCCCAGGGCCAATCTTCCTCAGCAAAAAAGAGGACTACCATCGGATGTTAGCTCAGGGCTGATCTTCCTCAAAAAAAATAAAAAAAAAAAAGCGGGCAAAGGATTTGAATAGACTTTTCTCCAAAGAAGATATATGAATGGCCAACAAGCATATGAAAAGAGCCCACCACCACTAATCATAAGAGAAATGCAAATCAAAACTGCAACCAGACATCACCTCACAACCCACAGGATGGCCACTAATAAAAATAACAGAAAATAACAAGTGTTGGTGAGAATGTGGAGAAATTGGAACCCTTGTGTACTGTTAGTGGGATTGCAAAATTGTGCAGCAGTTATGGAAAACATTATGGAGGTTCCTTAAAAAATGAAAAATAGAACTATCACATGACCCAGCAATTCCACTTCGAGGTATATATCCAAAGGAATTGAAAATAAAATCTCAAAGAGATATTTGTACATCCATATTCATTGCAGCATTATTCACAATAGCCAAGATGTGGAAGCAATCTAAATGTCCATCGACACATGAATGGATAAAGAAAATGTGGTATATATAAGAAGGAACATTATTAGGAAATCCTGTCATCTGCTACAATGTGGGTGAACCTTAAGGATATAATGCTAAGTGAAATAAGCTAATCATAAAAGACACATGATTCCACTTACATGAGGCATCTAAAGTAATCAAACTCATAAAAATAGAAAGTAGTCTTGTGGTTGCCAAGGGCTGAGGGGAGGGAAAAATGCAGAGTTGTTCAATGGATAAACAGTTTCATTCATGCAAGATAAAAAGTTCCAGAGATCTGTTGTACAACAATATGCATATAGTTAACATTACCATAACGTACACTTAAAAATTAAGAGGGTAAATTTATGTTATGTGTTTTTTATTACAATTAAAAAAGAGAAAAATCAAGAGAGAGGAAGAGGGAAACAAAGGAAAAAATTAAATTACCCTTTTCGCAGAAGACATGAATGTTTATGAAGAAAATATGAAAAAAACTACCAAAAAACTACATCACCTGATAAATGAATTAGCAAGATGCAAGTGTCTTTTTCATGCTCTATTTAGTGCCATGTTTTTCACACTTTTGTGCTTTTTTTGATGATTTCACTGTTTAAAACAGCATAGTACTAAAGTGCTGTCTAGTGTTTCTAAGCGCAAGAAAGCTGTAATGTGTCATATGGAAACAATACGTGTGTTACATTAAGGTTTGTTTAGGCATGAGTTATATTGCCAATGGTCATAAATTCAATATTAATGAATCAACAACATACACTGAATAAAGTGTCTTTAAACAGAAACACACATAAAACAAAGTTACCTATTGATCAGTTGATGAAAATATGACCAGAGGCTCACAGGAACCTAACCCTGTATTTCCCCTAGGAGCAATAGTTGAGTATTTGCTAATTCACAGTGTTTACAGCAACTTTATAGAACATAACTCAACTGTACTAGCAATGAACAAAACAGGACAGTTTAGGGCTGGCCCCGTGGCTTAGCGGTTAAGTGCGTGCGCTCCGCTGCTGGCAGCCCGGGTTCAGATCCCGGGTGCGCAC